GCCTCGCGGAGTCCAGCTCCTCCACGACTTCATCCCAGCTACTGACGTCCAGTATGTCTTTGTAGGAGACGCCCCAGTCTAGGAGTACGGAATTGTATTCTGGCGGGAGTGCCCTGTCGCCGCTCCGGTTGCCAAGATCGTACCAAACACCGCTCTGGCTCACGAACCCAACTCCATAACACTTGTCATCCGGGACGGCTAGGGTAGTGGACCACGTTTCCTGGCCTGCCACCACTTGCAGCTTGATGTGGATCCACCGTTTTGGCTGTTTAGCACGTGGCCTGGTGAGCACTGGGTGCTCACCGGTGCCAGCGAGCTCATCCTCCAGGTCTGGGTGGTCGGCGAGCACGCGACGCAGGTTCCCGATGAATGCAGAGAACTCTTCTTTATCACCAATATATGATGCACACTTGGTAAGGTTTTACGTGGATATTCTCCTGCATATAATGTTCGAAGAATGCGTTAGACGACATGCATGTTTTGTTTCGAAAAGGATGGGAAAGAAAAATATAGATATATATAATCTGATTCGGCAAACATGTGCCGTTCCAGATTTTGCTGCAGAGATTATTGCTTGCCAATCTTTTACAGTATTCCATGTTCATTACCTTGTTCTGTTGAGGCCGCCATGTGACGTTCACTTCAACTTCTTCAGTGTAATTATTGAACTGTGGAGTTGGACTCTCATAGTCTCATGTCCATAGTCGAAGCTGAGACTATCACTATCCGCTGGTTTCTTGACCTCTCGGTTGCTGGAACATTCAGTAATGTGCAGGTTCGACATGTCAATGTGGAGCCGCTTACCCTGTGGCACCTGAACGGTGGGTCGTGCCAGCGGCAGGGTCAACGACTTAGAGGGGATGGCCACCTCCACTGCACTTGTGAAGAGCACGATCGGGTGTTTTTCGAAGCCGCCGCTGTGCGCTGTAATTGTGCCGCGAGCGGTGTACTTCCTGCCTCCGTCGTCGTCCGCCTCTCCTTGGCCCTTTTTAGTCTTGAGGCGTCTCAGGCAGATTGACCGTCACGGTGGCCTCTATGCATTGGACATCACCAACACCGGTAGAGAACAGAGCTTTACTTTCGGTAGAGAACAGAGCTTTACTTCCGGTAGGGAACTCTCTCTAGTCCCGGTTCTCCACCCGGGAGCAAGCATCCAGAACTAAAGGGGTTCCTTTAGTCCCGGGTCAGACCTTTAGTCCCGGTGGGTAACACCAACCGGGACTAAAGGTCCTCCCAGCTTAAAAAAAATGCCTCCCACCGCTGCGTCCCATGAGATTCGAACCCAAGACCTCATGCATTGCCTCGCACGTAGCTTACCACCCCACCTACACAACACATCTAACAATGGATGGGATGCTTCCCTTTTGAACTAACCCATCGGGGGACCTTTAGCCCCGGTTGGTGTTGGTGTTACCAACCGGGACTAAAGGGTCCTTTAGTCCGGGTTGGTGTTACCAACCGGGATTAAAAGTGGACCTTTACTCTCGGTTGGAGCCACCAACCGGGACTAAAGGTTGGAGGACTTTTAGTCCCGGTTGGTGGGTCCAACCGGGAGTAAAGGTCCCCTGACACTGTGCCGAGCGCAGTAGCCGTTGGGCAGGGACCTTTAGTCCCGGTTGGAGCCACCAACCGGGACTAAAGGTATCTCTAGTCCCGGGCGCAAAAAATTCCAGGACTAGAGCCCATTTTGGTCGAAGATCAAAGGTCTGTTCTCTACTAGTGCAAGTAAGTGAAGTTTATCTTGCGCCACGAGTCTAAACTGATGGTGTGGCCGTGTGGGTCACGGGCTCGGTGGCGTCAACTTGGGCGGCGTGCTCCGGGTTGTAGCGGTCCCATTCCCATGTGATGGGACCATCAGCGTCCCCACTTCTGCTAGGGCTAGCTTCCTCCTTGCTGCCGCCAGTGGCGGACGATGGCATGTGGATAGCGAAGTTACCGTATGCCGAGATGCCTCTGTAGGGTCCAGTCAACACCAAATCGTTCATTTCCTCATCCTCCATTGCCTCGGGCTGCTGCAAGAATTAATAAAGGGAAGCATCGTTCAGATGAAACACTCTGGATGCATGTATTGTTCGGAAACAAAAAGACGGTAGCGTGTCCGGTGAGAATGACAGTGAATTCTCCGTTGCAATCTCTAATAAGTAATAGTAAGATAAGATATTTACCTGCTCCCCTTGATCCTTTGGCATGATAGCATCTAGATGATCTGGCCTCGTATCCCGTCAAAGACAGAAATTGTCATGTCTGTGACATGGAAATTGGCACGCACGTCAAAAATCTCCACCCGGGGTCGGCCATACCTCTCCGAGATTTTGTCAAGGACCTGCTGGGAGCTGTCATCCTCCCCTGGTTGGTCAGGGCCTTGATGAGCATTGTCATCCTCCCCGTCCCCGGGATGGCCATGGTCCGGAGCGTTATCATCCCCTGGCAGGCGTTTCCTCAGGGCTCTGTCTCTGTCTCTGTCTGTCACCCTCCCCGGGTTCGCTAGGATCATCCGGAGCGTTGTCATGCTTGGTTGATCCGCAAGCTTGCTTAGATAGAACACTCTTCTTGTTATTTGTACTGTGTTGCCTAGAGCCCGAAGGACCCCTGCTAGGTTCGCTAGCAGGGCCGCCCTTGTCTTGTTCAGGATTATTACTCCTGCTATTTTTGCCGTGTATGTTATAGCAGGCCTGGCGTTTTTAGGATTCGTGTTGTAGTTGAGCACAAGGTGCGTGAATGCGAGCTAATGCATGCCCTGCGCTCCGGACCAGTTGTCTGGTCGTCCGATGTGCGCGGGGCCAGTAGCCATCCATCCTCCACTGCAGCAGACCGTGTGACATGTCCTTCCATTCCCACATGTAACCTGCGAGCCGGCGTGTGAGTCCCGTCCCGCTGTCCCAGCCACCTACAAATGTGTCGAGGACAACATTTAACCTCACGGGCTCGCACACCATGACGGGCCCGCCAGGGAAAACCTGGTGAGGTAATCATCCCGGCCATCCACATCTGGGTACTGTGCGAGCCTGCGCACGGCCGTCTCCGCGAACGCCCTGCCCAGCCCCGCGCTGAGTATATCCTCGACCTGCTCTCGGTTTTCCACCTGCAGTATGCTGCTGTAACTGACGTCCCACCCTGGCAGCTGCTCCACGTTCCCCCATTCTCCTGATGATGGTAGCATCGGGCAGTTCTGAATGCTCCGCTCGCCGGAAAGCTCGTACCAGACTCCCCGCTGGTTTCTGAAGCCCTTGCAGTACACGTTGTCATCCAGGACGGCCAGAATTGTTGTGAACGTTTGCTGGCCTACCACCGCCTTCAGCTCGATCCAAAGCCACCTGCTTGATCTAGCGGATTGTCTTCTGAGCACTGGGTAAGCACCGGGGTTTTCCCCCAAGATGTCGTCCACCACAACGGGGTCCTGCGGAGAGGGAAGCTTCTGACGCAACTCCATGATGAACTTAGTGTACCCTTCTTTACACCAGATGCTGCGCGTTACGACATCTGGTCGCCGATCCATTTCCATCAGCAGTAGAGGAACTACTAGGTGTCATTCCTACAAATTTTCAGATTGCCATGCATGGGGTTAACCTGTTAATCTAGCTATAATTTAATAAACAAATTAAAAACACAATTACTCTATACTTATATAACTACGTATGTAGCAAAGTACAGCAGTGTAACATCTAAAACGTATATCTGCTTTATATTATATATGCATTTGGTGGTGGAGATCTTTTTTTGAGGAGCTGAGTGTTTCTTTGATGTTGAGATGTTTGATTCTGCGCATGGAATGTAGATAAAGAATCAACCTATGCTCGGAAAAGGTATTAGTTTCTACCCTTCATTTCATTTGTTCTAGAATCTGAAAGTTTTACTTTTCAAAAATTACTGAAGCAATTAGCCTAAGACACAAACAACTCGGGAAAATAATAACCATTTACCCATGGAAAACCCTATATATAATTCTGTAGTGATGCAAAACAGTTCCTGGTTCAATTTCATGTACTGTCGTTTTTGGGGAAAATATTTTCTTTTGACACATGTCCACATACATAATATGATAAACTCTTTAGCTTGACTGGCTGTCACTTTGGTTTTCAGCGCTTTGCACTAGCCGGTGTAGCATTAAATGGTGTGATTTATGCTTTTGGTGGCTTTCAATGGCGTTCAATATCTGAGGTGCTGTCCTTTTGCTGCCTGTACTTAGTACTTGATTGGTACAGGTTTGATCTGGTGGAAATATAACATCTCCTAAAACCTCCAAACAACTTCAATGGTTAAACCTCATGTGGCGGCCTATGATTCAGTGCAAATCTGAATAAACTGAATTATTTCATAAATGTTCATTAGCCAATTCTCTATTGCTGTATGGCAGTGATTTTTTAAGTGAGAGGAACACAAGAAAGCTCTTGTGCTAACTTTGTATGTGTATTGCCAACTCTCCTAAAAGACTTGATCATCGGGAGCCTAACTGGAAAATGCTATGAGTGATGGACGGTGCTGTCATACACTTACAGTGCTTGATAAGAAGATGTAAGTCACGTTACTCTTTCTTTGTATGTCGAAACAATGAATTGAAGATATGTAGGATGTTCTTTTCGAAAAAAAAAATTGTTATATAATGCATGCCCAGCAAATGAAATGGAGGGTGTTGCATCAGGGTGTATACTATATATTTTGTTGATATAATTTGCTTTTGTATTTTCTTCTAGATTCTCAATTGGTGGATAAAACACTATGGCTAAAGCAATGGGTGGCTACTGTTGAGGTGTACGAGCCAAGGATGCCATCATGGGTGATGGTTGAACCCATGACTACAGGAGGGGATACCATTCTTCAGCTGTGTCGGTGGCTCGATATTCACCTATGGCGAGGTGAAAGGTGAAGCAAAAATACAATCTTGGATGTGGTAAGTAGCAACACCAATTGACAAAATTCTAATCCTGTCCATTTGGCTGCGAATAACTCAACTAAGCTGCATTAAAGAATCATCCATCCAAAATCTTGGAGAGCATTCGACCATGCGTGACCCGTGTCGGAGAGACCTTGACCCTCCGCCATGGCCGCATCCTCCATGGCTGACCACTCGGCCCCAGGCTTGCGCCTGGTCTGCGAGTCAGGGGAGGGCTTCGTCCTCTTCCCCACCGGGCAGAGGCGAAGTGGGCGAGAAAGCGACGCGTGGAGCTCGTGTGGGGGATTGGGAAGCTCTTCTGGAGAATATTTGGGATGACGAGGTGATTGTCAAGTTTTTTGGCCAACTATGGGCCATTGACTCGCCGCCGCCGCGGAACCCTAGGGTTCGGCCCTCCAACCCCATCCAAACCTCCTCCACCAACTCCGACGGCCGCCTCTTCTGGATCCGGCAGGATCTGGTAGAGTCCAGGCAAATCTCTCCTGAGGATTGCTTCCCGGTGAGTCGTTCCGATCGGATCTCCAAACCACCGGTGAAGCTCAGCTTTGCGAGAGATATTTGGGGAAAGGGGGGCGAGAAGAAGTCCTTCGATGAGATCCTCAAGAGACGGATGGCGGAAGTAGGGAGATGGGTTTGGTAGCCTAAGCCCAGGCGTCAGCCTCAGCAAGGTCTATGCCCGCCTCCACCTCGTCCGCCTGCGCCGCAGAACCAACAGAGGCTCCCTCGACCCCAGGCACAAGGGTGGGTGGATCAGGGGCGTGGATTTCAGAATCAGCATTAGAGGCAACCCCGCCCACCGCCGCCGCCACCGCAACAGCAAGCACCTCCTCCGCGTCAACAGCAACCACCACCTAGGAAGGGGGCAATGCAGGGGCGCGGTCAAGCTATCCAGCTCCCAGATCAAGCGCCAGTTATTGACCCAAAGTATCAAGATTTGACTTGCTATAATTGTGGGGAACCTGGTCATTTCGTTAGCAATTGCTTGAAACCAAAAGCCTACCTCATATGTGTGATATGAACGTGTGTCCTACATGGAAATCAGATCACCCAATAGCTGCCTATGTGGGGAGTTCTTGGAGCTAGGTTTCTATCATGTGGAGATCCCTTCAGTTGAGTCTATGCAGTGGCTGAATTTAACTAACTGTGGGGTGGTGAGAGTGATTTCTTGGCAAATCTCTTTGGCTGAGCTTGAGGGGGAACCTTCTGAGATATACTGCAAAGAGTGGCCGTAGCAAATCAGGGAGCTTGAACCTGAGAAATTTTTGGTGAGGTTTCCTTCTCATAAGAAAGTTGCTGACATCAAGAATTACCCTTCATTTAACCTGAGGAAGGAGGGTGTACAAGTTGTGGTGTTGGAATGGATAGGAGACCTGAATCCTTTTGCAGAGTTACAAGAGGTCTGGGTGCAGATTTTGGGGATACCTCCTAGATGTTGCCACTGGAAGGTGTTTAATTTGCTCAAATTGCATCTGGTTTTGGGTTGATGATAGAAGTGGATTGGGCTACTTTGTTCAAATCTTTCTATGAGGTGGTTAGGATAAAGGTAGCCTACAGAGACTCTAGTAAGATTCCTAAGGACAGACTACATGAGATGAACAAGAGCCTCTTTGTTGTGTCTTTTGAGGTGGAAGGTGCACAAGCTACTGGACCTGGTCCAGCTGGAAATGATGGCAATGGTGGAGATGATGATGACAAGAAGAAGGATAATAATGCAGATGATGATGAGGATGATCTGTTAGATGATGATGACATAAGCAAAGATCAACCTACTGGTTCCAAGGTGACAACTCCTGTGAACAAGTCTTGCCAGGGTTCTGCTATGGGGGCAGAACAGTTAACATAGGACTGGGGCAGACCGATGTCTGGGAACCGGAGAAGCTGTTAATTGCCAGTGTGAGTAGGGATTAGGACAAGCTGTTAACAGCTACAGGGCAGGGTTCCATTACACAGCATACTACCATTGATGGTGAGGATGCTAGGGTTATAGGTTCACTGAAGGGTGAATTACATATAGGAGCAGGGTATGATATTTCAGCAGCGGGTTTAAACTTGGTTGGTGAGAGTTCTAAAACCCAACAGGTTACAACCCTTGGGGGCCCTTCTGAGGATTATTCTTGTGTGACACCTGAGATGTTTCGAGCGTATCAGACACCTAAAGCTACACAGGCGCAGAACACTGAGTGTCCAGTTGTGGGGAACAAATTCTTCCAACCCATCAGTGAGGAGTCTCATCACTCTAAATGGGAGGAATTTAGGAAAATGGCTCAATCTGATAACATGATTCAGGATTGTTCTATTCTGTTGAGGAGAATGGAGCTAGAGGATTCTGAGTCCGAGGGAGAATCTGCAAAGTTCGTTATGGAGCAGGATGATGAAGTGCTATCCCTGGGGGATTTAGGTAAGGATTCTCAAGCTGAGCAAGCTCTAATGAGGGATCTGGTAAGTCAGATGAAGGATGTGCAGTCTGATGCGAGTCCAGATGTGGTGCAAGTCAAGAAGATATGTGCAGTCACTAGCCTGGTTAAGTAAAGCTATGTGCAGTCACTACGGGCACGGCGAAGCGCGCCTGCCTACCTAGTATGCATATGCTGGATCGAATAAACCTATACGTTTAGTCTTTTTATCTGTCCAACCCAAAACCCTTCAAACCCTAGTTATTATTCTTCCATCTAAATCTACAGCAATTGAGGACTTGAAGGTAGAGCAACCCAAGCCAACAAGTGAAATCTGAAGCGACTGCTCAACTTTACTTAACCAGGCTAGTGAGCAAGGCAAGGTGAGGGCATGTCAATCTAATGAACCCAGTCCATTTACTTGCTTTGTCCAGTGTGAAAGCTTGCCTAGTCCCATGCATGCAACCAGATATTAAAAAAAAAAATCAGTTGTCTATCGAGGGCCCAAATGTCAGGCAACCATGCACATGTGTAAAGGAGCAGACACGGTCCTACACAAGACATGATACATATTTTAATACTCCTTGCAATGTTCCTCACGTTGCGTGCTTGGCTCGCTGACCCAGGAGAGCAATTTTGCCTGTCTAGGCAAGGATTTTCTTGCTAGGAGAGGCAAGCTTGCCAAGCAAAGCAAGTTTTTCTATCTTATACCAAACGTATATCCTTCTAGTAAGGTTGGGCAAGCCTTGGTATAAGATCCAAACGTACCTATATCTAACTTTCCCTGTCTGGTGAGACCGTTCACCTAGTCTTTCCATGCTTTGGGTGGCATATGACTATCTCAAAGCCATATACCAATCTCAATCCTCTAGCTAACACTACCGGAAACGTCAAATTTGCCGAGTGTTTTTATGTTTGCCGAGTGTATTCCCTCAGACACTCGGCGAACAAGTTATTTACCGAGTGCTGTGCTAAAAACACTCGGCAAAGAGGGGGTTTGCCGAGTGTTTTATTTTTTGCACTCGGCAAAGAAATAAATCCTTTTTTCTGGGAAAGAAGGAGAAGAAAAAAATGAAAAAAAAACTTTGCCGAGTGCCCAGATCTAGGACATTCGGCAAAGGACTAAATCCTACTTAATTAACCGACCCAGGCGCCCTCCTCTCCTCACCATTGCATTGGCCTCCGCCCTCCCCTCACCCTTCTTCTTCCCCGGCGGCCGGCAAAGAAATAAAATCTTTTTTCTGGGAAAGAAGAAGAAGAAAAAAATGAAAAAAAAAACTTTACCGAGTGCCCAGATCTAGGACACTCGGCAAAGGACTAAATCCTACTTAATTAACCGGCCCCAGCGCCCTTCCCGAGCACCCCGCCCTTCTTCTTCCCCAGCGCCCCTCCCCTCCCGACCCTAGGGCCCCTCCTCTCTGTTGCGCTTGCTGCTGCACCCCGCCCTCCCCTCCCCTTCTTCTTCCCGGCGCAGGCCCCTCCCCTACCCCTTCTTCTTTCCCCATCGGCCCCCTCCCTCCCCTTCTTCTTCCCAGTTGGCGCCCCCTCCGTTCTTCCCCCCAGGCGGCCCCCTCCCTCCTCCCTTCTTCCCTGTGGCGTCCCCCCCCTCCCCTTCTTCTTCCCCATGGCGTCCCTCCCTCCCCTTCTTCTTCCCCCATGGCGCCCTCCCTTCCTTCTTCTTCACCTGGTCGGATCCGGCCCTCCCTCTCTCGGATCCGGCCGGTGGCGGCCGGATCTGGCGACTACAACGTTTGGTCCCCCGCGGGCGGTGCCGGAGCTTCTCGCTCAGCGACGCCGAGACAGCAGCCGCGTCGTGGAGGCCCTGCTTGTACTCTGTGCAGTAGTCTTGCAAGAATGGCTCCTCCTACCGCTTCCTCCACGGCGTGCTGAGGACGCGGCCTTGTGCAGCAGGAGATGGCGATCATGCGCGCCAAGGCCTGGCCGCCCGCCAGCGCGCCGTAGCTCATGGCGTCCGCGTACCTTCTCGCCATCGCCCAAAGGGCGGCGCTACCTCGCCTCGCTTCCAAAGAAAGATCATCAGCAGAGAGCGAGACCCAAAGGTGCCATTTTTACCCCGCTGCGCCACCAAAGGTTTGCATTTTGGTTCCGGTCTCATGCCCATTTTATTTTCTGCGTGTTTGCTGCTCCAGGGCGGCGGTGGCGGCGGGCATGCTTCTCGGCGGCGAGGACATGCACAAGCGTGGTGGTGCCGCCGGCAACTTGTTTTTTTTCCCGAAAAATGTTCGACGATAGTCTTTGTCGAGTGCTCGACGATTAATACTCGGCAAAAAGCTCTTTGCCGTTAAAACCTACGCAGAGTGTAACACTCGGCAAATGCTTTGCCGAGTGTCTTGGGGGCTTTGCCGAGTGCCCTTGGCACTCGGTAAAGCTTCTGTATCTGGTAGTGTAATAGCCTATCACACACATTGTGATATCTCCGTTTCCTCCATCTGCAGAAACTCCATTCGCTATGTGACTTCAGCTTTCACCGGATGTGGAATTCTCATATTGTAGAGATCTCCTTGGCTTATTATTTCTCATGTCTCTATATAGGTATGCTTGTGTCTATGCTCTGTTGAGCCTTGTTGCCATTTATTATTGCTATGTGCCTACCCGCTCCTCAGCGGTGAAGTGGATTTTCGGCCGGCTTGCAGCAGCCCAGTTCGGCATCTCGAAGGCAGGGAAGGGGCAACGCTAGCGAGGTGCATGGGGATTGGTATGTGCTCAACGAATTGTGTCGCCCGAACACTACTCGTGGCAGGTATGCTCTTTTCTTCTCTAGTCTGCTGGGTTGCTTGATTTGTGCCTGGAGCTAGAGCCTGTGGTGTTTCTCTCTCTCTGAATTTGCTTTGAGATGGGGTCGATAGAAGTTCAGGGGAAGAGCATTAGCTCAAATTGTGTTGTGTCTCCAATTCGGTCAGAGCCAGAGCGGCAAAATTTTCTTCCATGACGACATTCCACGCCTTATCTCCTCAAGTCATCTGTTCCGCTAGCCAGAGCTAGGGGATCGAAAGGAGGGTGTCAAGGTTTTGGTCGATTGCTGGGCTAGTTAGCGTTCATCTAGGATGGAGAAGCTGCTAGTCAGCGTTCTTCTAGGACAAGGTCAGAGTTTATTAGGGATGATGTGCCTTGCATGTGGGTTTTGTTAAGGCATAGTAGTCAAGAATATTAGTGTAATTTCCTAGTTTAGGGTTTTCTCTTGTGTTTAACACGGAAAAAAAATAGGTGGACGATGGGTCCATTCAATCCTGCGTGCGACCCTCTAGCAGATGGACGCCGTGTGGCACCGCGTCTAATCTAACGGCCAGCACAAGAGGCGCAATTCATCGGCTCCTCGCGTACACGAGGCTCCACCGCGGCTCCTTGGCTCAGGCGTGAGGGCGGCTTCTCCGTAGTTCCGACGCAGAGAGGCGGAGACGGAGGTGGCGGTCATGGCGGAGGCAACAAAGGGTTGGCAGCCGCGCTCAGCAGCATCAGGTCGTCTAAATCGGCCACTAAGCAGACGCCATGGAGATTGCACACATCTGGAAGGAGGAGAGGAGGCAGCGACGGCGGCGATAGCAGCGGCCCTGCTGCCGCGCAGTGCAGCACAGCACAGCACAGCCCTGCTGGCGGCTATGGAAGCGATCGACGACGGCGGTGTGCAACAACCCGCACCAGTTACGGCTCGATTTGTTAGCATGTTCGCACGAGATCTGTTAGCATGTCTCGATCGTATGTGAGAAGACAAGCCGCAGCCAAGCCAATTTGGAGCCGAGCCGTCTTATTCTTCTCCAATCGATGGATGCTGTATAGCTGCCGTACGATGGCGTCTCCGTCCACGGAAAAAAAAAAGTGGGCGATGGGTCGAATGCATCTGGCATGCGACCCCCTCGTCGATGGGCGCCGCGTCACATATGGCTCCGTTCGCTTCGCTGAAAAAATAAGTTGAAATATTGTTCCGGCTGATTTGTTGTGAGAGAAAAACACTATTTCAGCTAAAAAAACGAACTAAAAAGTACGCATTATAAAACAAGCGAACATGACCTATATATAGTCTCTATTGGGTCTCAATACTACATCCCGTTGAGTCTTTCTTTATACATAACATGGTAACAAAACTCTATGGAGGTGTTTGGTTCTTTAGTCGTTCCTAAAATTCATATCACATCGAATGTTTATATACTAATAAAGAGCATTAAATATAGATTAATTACAAAACCAATTACATAGATGGAGGCTAATTTGCGAGACGATTTTTTAAACCGAATTAATATGTCATTAGCACATGTTTACTGTAGCACCACGTTGTCAAATCATGGACTAATTAGGCTTAAAAGATTCGTCTCGCAAATTAGTCGCAAGTTGTGTAATTAGTTTCGTAATTAGTCTATACTAGGAAGCGTGCCCGTACGTTGCTACGGGATACCTAACAATTTATACTAAAAACACACGGATCGCACGATAAGATAACAATATCGTTAAATTAAATACCAACGTTAAAGTGACATTTAATCCAAAAAGCAAAGTTTATGAATTTAACACAGTCACGGAGTGCACGGCGTCGCAGGCTCACAAACTCTAGAGCTTTCAGAGATTGGGTCGAATCCAACCTAGAGCCTCGGAACCCTACATCCTTTTCTGGACGGGCTTTACTTTGGATGCGCCGGTAGCAATATCAACGATCTTCAGTCGATGGACCAAGTCATATGGATCCCCATACAATGGCTCAGACATGTGGATTTTGTTCTCCTTGTACTTAGATACCCTTGTTCCACTGAAGCTTTCATTGAAATGTTTAGACACGAACGGTGTCTGATCACCGATGTCCCTCATCCTGGACCACTCTGGCGTACGGTCGTGGAGGTTGCACTTGTAGATCGCGCTACTGTAGGTGAAGCTCTGTGTCTCGTGGAACATGCTCACCATGGCACCCACATTGTGCAGCTCACCATTTGATTCCAGGTAGTTGCGGTGGCAGAGCCCCGCAGGTGGTGGTAGCGATGGCAGCAGCGTCGCGGTTGGAGTAGCGCCGGCGGTGTTGCTGCTGTTGACGGAGATTTCTCTAGTGCAGTCGATCGCAAGATCTTGTCTTGGCAGTGGACGATGGACCCCACGGAGAACTCCAGTTTGGTGTCGAGCAGTGTCCATGCGCTG